GGTGACAGAGGGTGCTGAGCCCACCTTCCTGTTTGGTAACATGTACACTGGCCTAGCAACCTCTTTATTCCCAAGGACATGTGACCAACAGCGGTCTCTGGGATGCCTCTGCTGTTGATGCTCACCTGCAGGCATGTACTGGTAGGTCCTTTGTGTAATAGGTATCTTCTTCATCTTCTTCAAAGTTCAACTCCGCCAGCAACTGGCTGGTCTTGGCCACACTGTCATCCACAGCCCCATTCTGCAGGATGCCCTCAGGTCCTCCAACCTACCACAGAACAGCATCATCACCATGCAAGCCTACAGCCTTCAGGCATTGGGCATGTGGGTTCTTCCCAAGTAAGTAGCCATGGCAACCCTCCTATGAAGCGCTGGCCTGCTCTCCACTTTGAGACAGTTCAGTAGCTTCTGCTTTGACATTTCACTCTCCCCTTCCCTATCAAACCTACTCAGACCTACCCTAGCTAGTTTGGCTCAGTGGGTAGAGTGTTGGCATGTGGACTAAAGGGCCCTGGGTCCAATTCCGGTCAAAGACACGTACCTTGGCTGCAGGCTCCTCCCTGGCCTGGGCCCTGGTCAGGGCTCACGCAGGAGGCAATTGATTGATGTATTCTCTCATATCAATATTTCTATCTTTCCCTCTCTCTAAAAATCAATGGAGCCCTAGCTGGTTTGGCTCAGTGGATAGAGGGGTTGAAGGGTCCCAGGTTCAATTCTGGTCAAGGGCACATGCCTGGATTGCGGGCTTGATCCCCAGTAGGGAATGTGCAGAAAGCAGCCAATCAATGATTCTCTCTCATCATTGATGGTTCTCTCTGTCCCTCTTCCTTCCTCTCTGAAATCAGTAAGAAATATTTTTAAAAAAGGAATATCATATTTAAAAAAAATGGAAAAATATCCTCGGATGAGGGTAACAAAAAAAAACTATTCAGACCGAAACAGGGCAGACAGACCCAACCCCCACGGAGCCACAGTGACAACCAGGATGCAGAGGGAAATGCTTCGTTTCCATCACTGAGGGCCACAGAAGCAAGAGGACTTTCTACAAGCCAATTATGGCCCCCTCTGGGGACAGCTGCACAATGTCAAGCCAGAGGACCTGGGATCCCATACAGTGAAGGGTCGTCCCAAAGCCTAAGCCCCTGAATGAAGGTTGTGAGCCCTGGAAAGCAGTTATCTCCTTAGTAAACAGGCTTCCTCCATCCCAGTACCCTCTCTGGAAGGCAGCCCTTTCTTGATTACAAATTAGAAATTGAATGTTAGAATAACTTTCCGAATTCAGTCAGTAATCTTACTAAAATATTACCTTTTATGTTATAACAGCAAAAACAGTTTTTTTTTTAAACTAAGTAACTAAGCCATGAATTTCACAGGCACTACTGATGAGCTCACAAGTCCATTCATGGGTGCACAAACTCAGCTCCCCCAGGGGAACATGAATCCTAGCATCATCCCTACAGGAGCCTCAGGTGGCAGTCAACAGTCCAGTCATTTCCTCCCGGGGGCCACAGCCCACAACAAGACTAGGTCAGGCAACAGGAGCTTTGTGTGTTGAGGAAGCCTAGAGAGGGATCATAGGAGCCCCAGGGCAAACACCAGCCCCATTCCCTTGCAGAATCCCTGCTCCCCAGAGCCGGGAGACCAAAAACCAGAGCCAACACAGCCTGAGCCAGCAGAGCTACACTCTATCTGAATCACTTGTACAAGCCTAAGGACAGCTATTCTCATGAGAAGGGCATTACATTTGGGGTGTCAGGAAGTCAGCATCTTGTCATAAGAACACCTATGTCTGTAAGGGTCTCAGCCCAGATCAGAACCCTATTTCAGTGTCAGCCACCACATTAATATGTTTTCAGGACGGCAGCAACCAGGTTAATGATAAGACAAGAGGCCCGCTGCACAAATTTGTGCACGGGTGGGGTCCCTTGGGGTGGCATGTGGGGATCAGACTCCAGTTGGTTCCCCCAGACGCGCAGCCCCAGCTTGTGCCTCCAGCCTCACAGCCCCACCTGGCACCCCGCCTTTGCCTGGCACCGCCCCCTCACCTGCTCCACCATCCCACCCCTGCCCCCTGCCGCTGGTCACCATCTGCAGGGTGATGGCCTAACGCTGCCTGCTCATCTGCTCCACCATCCCACCACAGTCCCACTCTCATCAGGGCCCATGGGGGCCGGCAGCACCTCCACTGCCACCAGCTGCCAGCGCAGCATCGCCAACAACTGACATGGTCCGCGCTGCTCCCTGGTGGTCAGCGTGCAGCATAGTGAGCGATCGAACTCCTGGTCTCCCAGTCAAACGACCACCCAAGGGGACAATTTGCACATTAGGCTTTTATTATATAGAACTGTATGCTTTGTTTGAAAAACATTTTTTTAAGAGGAAAAATCAAAATCAACTTTTAGATTTTATGCAAAAAAACCCCAAAGCTGTAACATGGCAAATACCTTTGTAAATCGCTTACCTTCTTTAAAAAATACATATATGATACACTTAACATAAAATATACCATCTTAACTACTTTTAAGTATACAGTTCAGGGGCATTTAAATATATTCACATTCGTGTGTGACCATTCTCACCATCCATCTCCAAAACTTTCCATCTTCCCAAACTGTGTTCGCATTAAACACTGATTTCCCATTGGCCTCCCCCTGGCACCCACCATTTTATTTTGTCTATGTGAATTTAACCCCTCTAGGAACATCATAGAAATGAATCATATGGTATTTGTCCTTTTGTATCTAGCTTATTTAACTCAGCATAATGTCTTCCTTGTGTAATATGTGGAGCCCCATGATGTAGTATGTTGTTAGATTTTCCTTTCTTTTTAAAGCGAATATTCCACTACATAGATACACCCTGTTCCGTTTATCTAGCCACGTGTCAGTGGACACTTGGTTGCTTCCACCTTTTGGCTGCTGTGAACACGGGTGTACAAATCTCTGAGAGACCCTGCTTTCGTTTCTTTTGGTTATACACCCAGAAGTGGAGCTACTGGGTCACAAAGTCATTTTATGTTTAACTTTTTGAGGAGTCCCTAGACTATTTTACCCAGTGGCTACACCTTTACATTCCCACCACAGTGCACAAGGGCTCCAATTTGTCCACATCCTCATCAACATTTGTTATAATATTTCTATTTTTGTTTTTAAAAAAAACAAAAAACAGCCCTGACCGGTTTGGCTCAGTGGATCGAGTGATGGCTTGCGGACTGAGGGGTCCCGGGGTTCGATTCCGGTCAAGGGCATGTACCTTGGTTGCGGGCACATCCCCAGTGGGGAGTATGCAGGAGGCAGCTAAATCGATGTTTCTCACTCTCTATCCCTCTCCCTTCCTCTCTGTAAAAATCAATAAAATATATTAAAAAAAACAAAACAAAACAGCCTTAGCCGGTTTGGGTCAGCGTATATAGAGCCTCAGCCTGTGAATCAAAGGGTCCCAGGTTCGATTCCGGGTCAAGAGCACATACCTTCATTGCAGGTTCCTCCCTGGCCCAGGGCCTGGTCAGGGCTTGTGCAGGAGGCAACCAATCGATGTTTCTCTCTGTCTTGCCCTCTCTTTTCCACTCTCCCTAAAAATCATTGGAAAAATATCCTCAGGTGAAAATTAACAAAAAAATAAAAAATAAAAATAAATAAAAAATAAAAACAAACGAACAAACAAGAGTCATTCTAATGGATATGAGGTGGTATCTCATTGTGGTTTTGATTTTCATTTCTCTGATGCCTATATCTTTTCATGTGCTGTTGGCCACTTGTATATTCTCTTTGGAGACATGTCTATTAAAGTCCTTTGCCCAATTTTAATTTGATTGTAAAATTTTTGTTGGATATCACTTTAAAGAGTCACCTCTTCATCTGGTAATGCTTCTCCTGACACATACAGTGGCAACACTGGTATGAGGCTGCCAACAGGACTGGCACTGCTGGCTCACAATGTCTCTTGATGTAAATGTACCTAGACACATTCGTGTTGGTTTTCTGAAAGTGTGTGGCCAGCTCATGGCACTTGGATTTCAATTCATGGCAGTGTGGGGGGCATATATATCATGCTGAAAGAAGGGGCTGAGAAGGTGGTCTAGACCAGGATTAGCCTGCAGGCCACCCTCTTAAGCTCCGAATGATATTTATATTTTTAAATGACTGGACTAAATACCTAAGAATAGCCTCAATTTTGTTTCTTGTCCCACAAAGTCTAGTATATTTACTATATAGCCTGTCAAAAAATTGTTTACTGACTCCTAATCTAGAAGAACTCCTAAGACCTCTTATCAGGTAGTATAAGCTTTAACATATAAAGACATAGTCCAGGTGGTGTGGCTCAGTGGTTGAGCATCACACTGTGAACCAGGAGGTCATGGTTCCATCCCCAGTTGGGGCACATGCCCTGGCTGCGGGCTCAATCCCCAGTGTGGGGCATGCAAGAGGCAGCTAATCAATGACTCTCATCATTGATGTTTCTCTCTTCCCTCTCCATTCCTCTCTGAAATCAATCAATCAGTATATATAAAGAAACGTTCTTGGTGGTATCTGAATCTTTTCCTGAAACATCAAAATTACTAATAGTATATGAAATAAAAGAGGAAAGTGCACACCACCTGGGTGGCCCTCATCTTACCCACTCCTGCCTCACATTTCACCTCTCCTCACTAGGGAGAGGGATAAGGCACCTCAGGAGCATGTGAGGCTTATAAGGGAATCCGACCAGCCACGTGGCAGCCCTCTCTAAACCACACTGATCCCTTCAGGCTTAATAAGGGGCGGAAATCTAAGTCCACTCTTGGAACTCCAGGGAAACAACAGACTATGGATCCAAGTCAGGGGTACTATCCTCACCCCCCACTAAAACCAAGAAGAAGTACAGATTCCCCAAGGCCCCAGGGCCCGGAAGCTGCCTGGCTGGGGGGTGTGGTATGGCACTCCTCACTCACATGCCTGAGTACACACATTCATGTGCAAACACTCCTAGCTCCCACTAGCCCCTCTCCTGCCAGCTGTGAGCTGGCAACAACACAAACTGACCTCTATAGCTGGGTTGTTAGTTTCTCCCTCTACTGCCTGTAAAGTTTTAATATAACATTAACTTCAAAAATACATTTGACCTTGCCCTGGCCAGCATGGCTTTGGGTTGGAGCATCAGGCTGCACACCTGAGGATCTTTGGTTTGATTCCTGGTCAAGGGCTCATACCTGGATTGCAGGTTTGATCCCTGCTCCCGGTCGGGGCAAGAGTGTGAGGCAACCCATTGATGTGGCTCTCTCACACTGAT